GAGTAATTTTTAGAGGAATTTTTTAAGGAGACCGCTAGTAATCTTATCGATTGTCAATTAAAACTATTTACAAATTCTGTCGGTATGTTACTACTATCACTTTGATCGTGTTGTGTATTGCTTTATCAACTCGTAATTTGTCAATACAAATTTGCTATCATATAATAGTACTATATATATAAGCAGTAGTATAACAGTGGGTTGTAATATTATGAATCGCGCAGAATAAACGAAAATAACGCACCAGTGAGCGTTGTCAACATGCTAAAGGGATTTTCTTTCTTTGTTGCTGTATTGGCAGGTAAGGTTAACATTGTTATCCACTATTTTTGGAATCGAAAATTCTAGAGCTCTCCGTTTAAATGAAGGGTTGTTGTAGTATATTATTATAACACATAAAATTTAACTTTTTATAAATAGAATAAGGATGACATGCCAAATGGCGGAATATAGCTGTTCTCTATGTGATAAACTATGACAATACCATCTTTATCAACCTATATTCGCAATAAACGATTTGAATTTGAATTTGAAAAACTAGCACACAATCCACTTAATAGTACGAGTATGTGGATGCTGTGACCAAAAGACATTTATATCTATCTTCGATTATGACTCGAGATGCCTTGTTTCCAGTCAAGTGCTTTGTCGATATTTCAACATATTTTTAGCGGAAAGGTGTTATGAAAATATTGAGCATCGTATACTATCGTGCCATAATTGTTTTTTTTTTGTTTTTTTTTTGCGGTAGGTGTGAAATAAAGTGCACATTGCTCTTAGTAACTAAATTATTTTTTATTGATACTTTAAGTAATTTACAATTTCCTAGTTTAGTTTAGTTTAGTGGGTTTAACTCTCCTTAATGGTTAAACTGTGATAAAGTTACATCATTGAAATAATACTAGTTTTTACGGAATTTATCGCGTATATTTAACTTTTTAAATACCCGACGTTTCGAACGCTTTACAGCACTCATGGTCACGGGCAGGACTGAGATGTTCAACGTCCATATGTCATAGTTAACCGCGGTTACCATAGATTAAAATTTAACTTTTGTTCCGATCTATGCAGTATGACTACTCGTATGGTATGTTGAAGTCTTGCAGTTGTAGTGCTTGGGTTGGGATTTAATTTTTAGGTTCCCGAAACGTCGGGTATTTAAAAAGTTAAATATACGCGATAAATTCCGTAAAAACTAGTATTATTTCAATGTGTAGTGTTCGCGTAAATATAAGAAAAAAGTTACATCACCCTACCACCGGTCACTTTTAACTCTCAAAACACACCAGAAGATAAGATTTCAAGAAAATGTCCACTATTGCCGAGTTAGCAAATATCCAAAGGGCTGCGTTAACTTCTCTCAATCAACGTATGACGGAATTTGAAGCACTTATAAAAAATCTTACACCACGGTTCCTGACATGAAATTTCTCTCAAGCGACTTTCAAGTGTTTAAGGATAATGTTTGGCAAACCATGCCACTACTACACCAGAAGATCAATGAGGTTAGTCAAACGATTCACAATATTGAGATGCGGCATTGGAGAAAATATTTGCTGCTAAATGGAGTTCCGGAATCATCTGATGAAAACATCTTAGATAAAATTGTAACTGTCCTGCAGGATAAGCTTCAACCACAGGAATTTTCTTCAAGCCCCATTATAGCTTGCCATCGTCTAGGTGCAGTATCGGAAGCTCGTGTTTTCTTCAAGACCAGGTCTGATTCGGATTAGTGATCAGTCCATTAAGTCAACCATTTGGGCCAAAAAGACTATGTTAAAAGGCACTTCATATGTGCTGTCCGAGTTTCGTACTCATCAGCGTCAAGGCTTATTCATTGCTAATTGCTATACGTAAGCACTTTGGTATTAGACAAGTTTGGTCACTCGATGGTAATATAAACGTCAAGTTGCCTTGTGATAAGCGCCATCGGTTGACGGACACCAAGGACTTCGATGATCTCATTACACAATATGAACAGCCTGCTACATCGGATCGACCATCTGACTCTACGACGAAGAAAGTTTCACCAAATGTTAACAGTGGTAGTGCACCAAAGTCGACGCTCGCCGTCCAAGCGCATAATTCGCAACAAATAAATCTCATCGACTTCGCTTTATTCTAATGTTGGATTTAATTTGTAAGCTGTCATGTGTATTTGTTATTTCTCTTATTGTTATTGATAACAACTGAGCATATTTGTTATGATACTGTAAAAATGGTAACACAATAACTTTTGTTTACATACATATTAAGTAATATTTTGCTGAACTAAGACCATAGATAACATATTATAACTAAGACATAATATAGGTTTCTCTCCTGACTCCGGGCAACTACTGAGAATTTCGTAACGGAAAAACTCAATAATTAATTTTTTGACCCAACCCAGGATTCGAACCCAGGACCTCATGATCAGCAGTCGCACTACTACAACCACTAGACCAACGAGGCAGTCATATTTATGTACCACTTTGTGCATGAAAGTACAAATAAATTGTTAAAATAAAGCAGAACGTATATTCCTTACATTAAACCGACTGCGACTACATGGAAGAAGCTCGTTGTTTGTCGAGCGAATATTATATAAATATGAAATAGACATTCTAGTATATTTAATGTATATCCTTTGGCACGCTCTATTACAACCTATACGACCTGATAGATTTTAAAATATGGTGTGTCTGTCGTTAGATTAGTCTTAGCTGTGGAAGTGACACAAGTTACATTTAATAAGGGTTTTACGCATCGTGGAATTTTTAATAACTGTTTTAATTATTTGGGATAATTTGATATAATATATTTTTGAATATTTTTTAGGGTGCCATGCAGCTGTAACATCTGATGTCCAACGAAGCGGAAGTGTGAATCGCTACTTTGTATATACAAGGTATATATATATATATATATATATATATATATATATATATATATGTATGTATGGTGATGGTTGTTAATTCATTTTTATCAATTTACCTACTATCGCTTTATAACTGGAAATAAGGTATGAAAGAAACATTAAAAATAATTTAAACGTATTTCACTTACGCTGTTGCTGTATTGCTGTGGAACGGCAGAAGATTGACTTGACTAAGTTAAACTTTTAAATTTCTCAGATCTTTTTACTGCAACAGATTCTGTCTTAGAATAGGGGTGATAACGCATTTGTATTTGATTTAATCCAGTATTACATGCAGGATACAGAAAATCCATTTCACTGCTAGAAACAGACTTTATTATTAGTATTTTATTAGCGTTTAATATAACTTAAATTGAAAAATACACCGATATACAGATATATAGATCCAAATATACATAGATACACGTTAAACATATAACATCCCCCTGTTTGCGCGGGGGTTTAAAAGTAACATTACAAGCCTACGAAAGTGTTCCAGAAGGTCGCGTGCTATCACCAACGATGTTTCATATGTTTCAAACCGTTAACATTCATTGCTGTTGCTTTATACACCGGCCATGCCAATATTTCTCGGGAAAATATCGCCGACTACCGGAACAAAACATGTGTCAGAAGTCGAGACTTTGTTGTATAAAGTCTTGGATTGCGGGTGACTAAATCTAGTCCATTTCAATCCTCAAAAGACACAAGTTTGCGCTTTTACCTCTAAACTGAACCCCTTTGTCATATCTCTCTTAGTTTCAGGGCACTCCCCTTGTTGCGAGCCAGTATAGAAATCCTTGGCGTCAACATATCAAATTCAGTGCAGTTTCATGGTCACTTGGTCGAGAAAGCCAAATTGGTTTCTAAAAAGCTGGGCGTGCTCAGTAGACCTGGATAGTATTTCATGCAGGTACACCGCCTGCAACTTTACAGAGCGCAGGTTCGGCCTTACACGGAATACTGTTCCCTTCTCTGAACCGGGGCTCCCCAGTGCCAGGTCCTTCCACTTGATCGCATCCAGCTCAGAGCGGTTCGAATCATCGGCGACGAAGCTCTTTTTGATCGGGCTGACTCACTGGCACTGTAAAGAGATGTTGCATCTCTTTGCATATTTTATCACATCTACCACGGGGAGTGCCCTGAGGAATTGTTCGAACTAATTCCAGCCATTCAATTTCACCATCGCAAATTGCATCAAAGCTCTCGAAACCATTCATACCATATGGATGATTGGCGGTCCACCACTATGCAATTTACAATATGTTTTCTTCCTCGCACAACATGCGAATCGTCTATCATAAGCGATTTTTTCGGTCCGATACGACTAAGACTACTTCAAGAAAAAACATTATCTTTTTTTAAAGGCTGGCAATGCACCTGCAATTCCCCTGCTGTTACAGTTGTTCGTGGGCGACAATCGACATTTATCATCAAGTGTCACATGCTCGATTTTTCATAGAATTTTTTCATAGATATGCACCTCTTCTACTAAAAAAATGCATATTATAACGTTTATTTTTATTTTAGCCCAAATACCCAAATACAATAAACGGTAATGTTGCCTTAATGAATAAAGAAACTACTGTGGCGGCGCTGTCGTCCCGCCACAAGCGAAACACACCTGAGGCTTCAACGCGCTACCGAAGTTACCGCGCTATTTAAGGAACAGCTCCGAAACAACATTGGCCGCTCCTCGGACCAAACAACGCCTTGCCTGGCGGGAGATCTCACCTTTTACATTTACGGCAAAATTGGTGACTAACTGACGTGATGTGAACTCGCAACCAAACGACCTTCGAAACCACAACCTCAAGCTTATCCTCAAAAACCCGTTGCATTCGCTCCCGAGCAGATATCGTCCGGAGTCTTCAGATCCTGCAAGCCATCTAGCACTGGAATATTGCTTCTACGGCACTGCTCTGAGCCTTACCGCTTTATTGCTCTCTCAACCGCAGACTACAACGTAATCTCTGGCACTTTGCACATTTTTCGACAACTAGACTACATCATCGACCTCTGGTCTGAGCTAATCACTAAATACCAGACATCAGAGACTTAATCGCGCTGTCAAATTTTCGAAATAACGTAATATATAATAATGATAAAAGGTACAGGCCATTCTAGAGTACCCATAACCAAAGAAGGTATGCCAGTTGAGGAGATTTTTAGGTATCATTAATTTTTACAGGTGATTCCTGCCACATGTTGCCTAAACACAAGCCCCTCTTCACAACCTTCTGACTAGCGTGGTTAAAGGCCGCTAGTCAATAGATTTTGAGGACTGCAAACGTAGTCTCTCTAATGCAGCTTTATTAACCACCTATACTGCAAAGCCAAATTGCCATTAGTAAAAGGTGACAGCGGTTGCATTGAATCACTGTCATGGGTCCTACTTATATACGCAGTGCTTTTAAGGCTGATCTTCAAACATCTTTCGCAAAACTTGTATACGGCGAGCCTCTTAGATGGCTAATGAATTCCTTGAACCCAGTTCAGATGGTCCGATGGAAACCACAAAGTTTACTGCATAACTGCATCACATGTTTTAGTCAATAATTAATCGCATAAAATATCACAATAGAATAGTATTATCACTTGTAAGTAGGTAATACTATTCTTACGAGAATCTAATATTAAAGAGACACGCCGATACTAAAATTAATAGAGCCAGTGTTGTCATGACACCGAGTTGTACTTTGAAACTCTTTGTACTTGACATACTTCAGAGGAGAATTTAACTTTAATTTTAAACGGGTACTTTCATACTCATATTAGTATCTATCAAGTTAACATTGGAAGCAGCTGAAGAAATTTTCTAAAATACTTTTAATTCAATATTTCGTACAAAAGTATAGCACTTTTGTATGAAGTATTGAATTAAATTATAAATAAATATTACATTTAATTACGAGCGGTGCATATTAAGTTATATGCAATAAATTCAAGAGCTTAATAAAGACTACTCTAATCCTTATTCTAAAAATTATAAATTAAGGCCCTTATCAGTTTTTCGTTAGAGGGACCACACTGCTTACAGACGAAATTCAGCAATCTTGAACTCTTCGCTTGTATTAAGATTGTCTCCGGTGTAATATTGGAAAACAACTATCGTTATAATACTCTATCTAGTGAAATATCATCCCAGAAGCACCCGAGAATTATTCTTCCCACTTTAGCCTACTGATTTACTAAACTATATCAGCTACTCTTGTTCTTGTGCGGATATTCTTGTTACGGATTTTATGTACTATGTGATATACTGGTGAAACATACAAGAACTCGACTGATGCAGGTGGCTCAGGACCGTCACAGCTACCTTCAGTCTTTGAACATTAATTTTTGGTCCGATCTACGCATAATGAGCTTACAGTATCTTCAAGTCACGTCAGCTATAAGCATCGACGTTCCGGGGAGTCTGGGGTCTGTGAACATGTTCGAGAGCCACCCTGCCATTACATTAGATTTGATAGATCACAAATCCCCGCGAAACAAAACCGATTCCTGCCTAGGATGATTCGTCAGGATATTTAAAGTAAAAAACACCCTTATTTCGATAGAGAAGATGGATGGGTACCACTAACTGCTTGGGATCCTATAATCAATAAAATTAAATTCTAACCCAAGAATATCACTGCAAGATGATTGAAGATGAGGATGAAGATGAAGGTAGTCGTGCTAACTTCATAGTTAGCGCGAGTACCTTCATCTCATTATCAGCACGTGAATTATCTCAGTAACCCCCCCACCCCCTGTGGCCATGGGTGTAAATTTAAATTAAACGGTGTAATAAAATCCGTAAAAATTAGTTTAATTTAATGTGTAACTCACTTAAATATAATAATTAATTATAATTAATTATTTTAGAGCAAATGTTCTGGAGCCAAGGGAAATTTTGCTAAATGACCCAACAACAATAACGGAATCAGGGATAGCAAATACCCAGGACACAGTCGTTGTTGTTCATGGACACCAAGCTAGTGCTTTTAATTCACTCAATCCAACTTTAAAGAATGGTAAGATTCATTTTGATGCCATTAAAAATCATTGTATTTATTAAATTTATTAATATTTATTTCGTTAAACGTTGTAATATTATGAATTTTGTGCATTTTTTAAAGACGAGTGGTGGAGTTAAATAGGGTGTAAAAGTAGCAGAATATGAATTCGAGTCGGATCCATTGCATTCATTCATCATTCGATCTCGTCTCCGAATATATTAAAATATATTCTCGATTTTAACCCTCAGAGTTGTTAAAACAGTTATTTGTAATTATTGCAATTGTAATCTTCAACAATAAGTTAAACATTTAGTTATGTTTTCATGAAATATATTTTCAGCTTATCTACAAAACTATGAAGTGAACGTGATTGTAGTTGACTGGTCAATATATGCCAGAATGAGCTATTCATTGGCTGTGTCGGCAGTGCCTAGTGTTGGAACATATTTAGGAGATCTTATCTCAATCTTAATAAATGCTAATCTGGTGGAACTGAATAGATTACATCTAATTGGGTTCAATCTAGGTGCACATGTTGCTGGTTTTGCTGGAAGGAAACTGCAAGGCCAAGTTGCAAGAATAACTGGTAAAATTTTCTCTCATACTTTTTCTAACGTATCTTGCTTAACCAACATAGCCACCGTAATATTAGTTTTTAATTCGTATAAAAGTTACGTCGGCAATTAAATTTTATAAAATTGATTATACAGATTGTACTTGGTTTTCTTTCTCGATTAATTTTGTTATTTTTGTGTTACTCCAAAATATTACAATAAACTTAACTTTAACTTTAACTTTTACAGGTTTGGATCCTTCTGGAAAACAATGGGGTAGCAATTCAGGCCGATTGTCTTCTTCCGATGCACGCTACGTAGAAATCATTCATACTGATACAAATGGTATTTTTGCTAATGGCATCGGCACTGCTTTAGGCCACATTGACTTTTACCCTAACGGTGGTAGCAATCAACCAGGTTGCCTTCTCTCCAACTCTTGCAGCCATAATCGCGCCTGGGAATTTTTCGCAGCCACATTACTTGCAAACCACCAACTAGTAGGAAATAACTGTGCATCGACTTCACAATTAGTTTTGAATCGGTGTAACGGTGATCGTCTTGCAATGGGATCAAACGAATACACTAAATTGGGGTAAATTGATTTTATATTTCAAAAGTTATACGCATCGGTTTCAAGAAATGTGATTTTCATTTAAGTCATTCAATTAAAGTTTTTCTAACAAAAATTATAACTTTGCTTTCAGAGGCGGAATCTACAGAGTCAATACTGGTTCGAGTTATCCTTTTTAATCAGTCTGATATCGAAGCCTGGTGTAGGGACATACGAGTTGTGCGACTAAATATAACAAAAATGTTTTCGTAAATTCTTTTACACAATTTTAATTTATTTGATTTGATGCAATCATTAAAAATAGAAATCTATTTGCTTGAAATTCGAATTGTTTTTTTATAATATAAAAATTAAGAAAACACTTTATTACAAATTTTTTTTATAGTGGTATTTTTTCTTACCCCTTTGTGTTTTTTTTTATTATTTTAATATTAATTTATTATTTTTTTTGTATGTTTTAATATATTGGGTGTGTTTTTGTGTATTTTTTTTTATATATTTTTTAAATTTATAAAATAAATTTTTTGTTTTGGGTGTTTTCACCACAGTAAAAATATTTGGCTGAATGCGTTTGTTTTTTGTTTGTCGGTGGTTACTTTTTGGCTTTCGATTTTTTTTTGGGTGGGGCCCCTTTTTATATATATATATATATATATATATAATTAATCTCGACATTAAGCCGTCTAAAATAATGTTAGAAGTTATATTTTAAGGAATTCAAAATACATTAATAGGCATAAAGTAAAAAATAAATACATTTCAGTTCTTAAGTAGTAAATTAAAGGCTAATGTCGCCTTTATAAAAATCATAAAATTTATTTAAGCTGTAAAAATATTTAAAATATAATAAATAATAGCAAAAAAGTCGAAGATATTATAAGAAAAAAGATAAATAACATTTATCCTTTTTCTTATAATATCTTCTATATATAATTATTCTTAAATAGTTATTCTATATATAATTAGAAAATTGCTCATTTATTAATAGAAATGGGACTTAGAAAGGGTAATTAGAGTGGCATGTTGACTGCATCACAGCGTCCGCAACTAAGGTAAACTTGGACTCGCTAACCGATATGTCCTAGACATATTATCTTGGGTTTGTTGTAGCAATACGACTTGCTCGTAGACAACGTACACCCATACCACGGTAATTTTATCTATAAATATTACCGTGCCCATACGGTTTGTGGACGGAGTCTTATCTAGTAGGTATAGTATGCAGATAGGATAGTATTTCATGCTGGCATATATACATGTATGGCTCTGGCTCACCGCCTGCAAATTTATAAGGCGCAGGTTCGGTTTTTTCTGATATGGAAAGAGTCATAATTACGTTTAGTAAATAGTAAACAATTATAATAATTACGTTTAGTAAAAATTTAATTTTAATTTAACCGATATTTAACAAAAACACATACCTAATTTTTTTTAACTAACTTTTTTGCTATTATATTTTATAGAAATACAATATTTTTAAAGCACTTAGGAATTATCATAAATGTAAAAGTCGCCGTTACCGTTACATTTAGCATTTTAAAAGTCCACTGCTGAACATAGGCCTCCCTTATAGATTGCCTCATATTGGGGGGAGGAGGTTTTCTCTAGTTGCCAAGCTACCGCAGTTATATTATTTTATTCATTTTATAAGGAAGACTGCTTTTTACGACACTCACGGAACGATATGGGGTAGTGTATATTCTTTCAACGCTACTACATGGTGGATGCACACAACTATGAACTATAAACTCAAAGCTCTTAACCCATTCTCTGTCGCTGTACTCAAACGAGTATAGTTATTTAAAAATTAATTGACTAAATTTGTGAAGGTTTATGCGTTTTCATTTTATTAATTGAAATAGAGGATAGAATCATATTTTATTTGAGTCGTGCAAATTGAGGGTGTTTCTAAAATGTGTGTCGTTTGGAGCAACCGGATTTCATGTTATTGGACTAGCGTGGAAGTTAGTAGTATTTTTATTATATTTTATTATTATTATTTGTGTAAATGTTGTTTTTTGTAATAATTGTGATAAGATATAGTGTAGTCTATAATGTGAGTTACAAATTTGAAACAGTTATTGTTTATTACTAACTTTAGATGAATATTTTTACTAATGTACTCAGTTGAGTACACTGGTTACTTCAATAGATAAAAAATACAACTTTGTTTCAGTTTACCAACAATCAGTCACAGGATGTTTTTCGGTATAAATAGCTTTATAGGACTTGAGGAAGCAATTGCAGCAGCCACAGCAGATAGTGATGATGACCGTGAATATGATTTGGTGATAATACCACCTGATTCAAGTGTCGTGACTGACGAAGAGGAAGGGTCTGATGAAGCTATGGTGACGTATACGTTGTCACGAGATTTGCACCGAAATATTAAGGTTATGGTACGCGATGAAGGTACTTTTTCATCCTACTATGATTTCAGTGACGAAGAACTATTGGCCAAAAACGAGTTCGTCGGAAGCCTAACATTCAGCAGTGGCTGTAAACTTCAGCCTCGAGAAAATGTTCACCATCCTATACTTTTGGCCATCAGCATACGTCTGAGGTGCAAAACAAACAAATTGCTATAAATGAACAGCTGAGAGACCAAAATCCTGTACAGATTTTTAAAAATATGAGTGGATGAATAAGAGTATTACATCTCATATTATCTAATAGTATTTTGTATGCTAATCAAAACAATAGACACTCTTTTCAACTTGATTTACCAGACCTACAGAAGTTCATTGGTATTTTGTTTTTGGCGGGATATCACAAATTGCCTCAGGAAGTATCATATTGATGACTGGATGAGGACGTCAGAGTTGCGCTAGTTTCAAGAGCTATGACGAGGAATAAATTTCGTGAAATAAAAAGATATCTTCATCTTGTAAATGACGATGACACATCAAAATCCAGAGATAAAATGTTCAAAATTAGATCCCTAGCTGACATACTGATGACCAAATTCAATCAGTGTGGCGTATTTATACTACTAACTATGATTACTTTGAACCAATGAGCACGGTAAAAAGATGGTGTCCAGAAAAATAAGAGAGAAAGCCGATGTAAGGATTCGGCTTCATTTGAAAACGTATGTGTGGAGTCGATGAGCTAGATCAGTTCATACTATTTATGTATTATACAGGATCGGGATTCCTGGCAAAAAGTGGTGGTGAGTTTTATTTACATATTTGTTGAACATGGCCGTTTCAAACGTTTGGCGTTTAGATGTTATAAGCAAGGGTGGAGGGATGGATCAACTCTTGCTTCGACATAGTCTTGCCAGATACTATTTGCGACAAGAAACTCTAAAAAGAGCCAGACCATATTCTTCTTTGGTCAAAGGACTGCCTTAAGATGGTTCAGGCCACTACCCAAGGAAGCTTGAAAAGCAATTACGGTGCGTCATTTGCCATGCAAGGGTCCGATAGGGATGCAAGATGTGTTTGAAAACACTCTGCGTTGAAAAGTCATGCTTCGGAAAATTACATATATAAGTGGCCGCTGTACTCAAACAAGTACACCCCTGAAAAAGTATAAAAAATAATTATAAATAAAAGTGTCAGCTGTCGAAGCTAAAGACCGAATGTGACAGCATCGTTTGCGAGACACTTGAAATTTTGAGTTAGATTGAGAGATTCTTTGGGTGGCTGTACACATCATCGTTGGAGCCACACGCAGTGTGAGTAACGATGTGAGAGCAAGTATTATCCGACACTATTCCGTTGATATCCCGGACGTCAGTCTGATCGAGTACCTTAAAAACGGAAAGAGGGCGAAAAAGCACTATGAAATTTTCTTAAACTCATCCGGTACAGTTCCGCCAAATTATCTTTAGACTTATTTTGGATTTCACGGGGAATAATAACTGTGTTTGTTTAATAGACGCTGGGTTTACTTTACGGAACGAACACAGAGGGCACTGATACTATAGTATAATATCAGCAGCACGACCGCGGTCTGCCTTTTCTTTTATCACTAAACGAGAACTACCAATAAATCAATTGCGAACGTATTACCCGTTTTTCTCTCCACTCACTCTAGATATTATTCATCATTTATTCATTAATTACAGCCTATCAAAAGTGCATTGCTGAACGTAAGGGGAATATACAGACAAAATAGATATATACGGTAGTGCAACAACATCAGAATGTTAAAGTTAAAAAAAAGTTAAAGTTACAGTCTATATACGTCCCACTGCTGGGCACAGGCCTCCCCCTCATTTCTGAGAGGGTTTTAGGGCAAGGAAGTGTTCGCTACGCTGCCCCAATGCGTGTTGGCGAACTTCACATGTCTAACATGTTTTGTTACAAGGAACTCGCAAAATACGCATTACAAAACTATAATATTTCTCTATAATATTCTAGTTTGTAACAATTTAGAATATTGTATTGTGGCCTGGAGACCACACTATGCTACACATTCATTACGTACTCGTATTGAACGTGTTCAAAAATGTTTTGTCTGGCATGTAACATTTTCTGTTGGTAAAGCAAAGTAACTACGGCCCTGCACTAGTAGGTATATGGTATAATTTTAATTCAGGAACTCTAGAGAGTCGTAGAAAGTATAATGTATGCGGTTTTTGTACACAAAATATTTAATACATACATACATACATAAACACTACACTACATAGACTACGGACTTCCATTTGGCACGATCCTGACAAAGCTTTAATACTATATTTAATTGCACTAGCTTATGTAATGGAACTTTTTAAGTATCGTGTACCCTCGAGATTACCCTGCAGCTCTATTGCACCACTAGGTCCACCATGTAGAAGAACTGTAATGGAAAGGAATTCGCCTTATGCAATATTCTGTAAAATTATTAATGAACGCAGCGATTTAGTTGACATTCACTTTGACTCACCCAAAATAATCTCTGTCTCCGTAAATGTGTAAGAAGCGTAAACTAAAGATTTATGTTTTTTTTTTTATGTTTACGTGGCACTATACTTACTAATATTTTTAAATGTTAGAGAGGATCAATTTATTGTTTTTTCAGTTTATGTATTTTATAGCTCTTTGCATGTGGATTTCACCTTTAAGTAATAATTTTGTTAATACTTTTGATTAATTGTAATAATTTGATGTATTAGTGTTAGCAATTGTTGGTAAACCTAGTAAAGAGAGAAAGATATTTGCCGTAGTTCGCTCTCTTATCCTCACTCTCAAGTGGTTTAGCAACCGCATTTTTTTATTAATTTGAGTTGTTATCAGTAAGATACTGTTGCCTGTCGCCTGTTTCAATTCCCTCTGTCGTCTTTTACGATGCTCACGGGATGTTTTATCATATATTTATTTCAAAATTAATGCTGCAATATTTTCGGCATAACGAAGGATCTTGCTAAGCCATTTGAGATTATATTTCCCCTTAAATTCATCTCGGAAGTATTTTCATAAATAAAACTCACTTGCCGCATTTGTAAAAGATCATCACTTGAGTACGACTGGACCGATTTTGATGAACACTCACACTCACAAAAAGACCGGATCAACCGGACCGAATAATATTACTTATATATATATATATATATATATATATATATATATATATATATATATATATATATAATATGATATAATATAATATAATAATAAATATAAAGACTTGTCATCGTCTAAGGACCCGAATCTTACGATTTACATGAAGCTTAAGTGGAAATTAATCACGACTTGGTTTAATGTAAGTCTACCAAACATATCGTTCATCATTTTTTATACTATTTAGTAGGCAAGTAGTGCTTTGTTTTATAATTTTGCATCACTTTTACTACTAGGTAATCTCAGTTTAGTGATTAGCTGATAAGTGTATCGGATCTACAAAATTGTATGTCTTAGGTTTCTTTCAGTCAACATGTTACTTTAAAAAAACTACTTATGTCAATCTGATATGATTTTAAATTTAATTCATATAATATTATATATATTTAACTGTATATTTCTTAAATTTGACCATAAAACAAAATGTAATACAAATTTGACTGCCAAGTTATTTCTTTCTGATTTTACTGTAATCAAATCAGTCCAAAAAATATCTTCTGACTTACAATTAACCAACACGCTTGCCTAGTGTCGTGATTATCAGTGTGTTAACTAATATATAACTGATGGCACATTCTTAAAAATACCATTATCTTGAAGTGAACTGTTACTATTACTCTTCGTTTATGAATAACAATTTTCAACTAAATTAATTTAACAATATAATTTTACACAATATCTTACTTTGGAGAGGACCACACATTATTTGTTCTACTATTGTTATAATACGATGAATATTAAAATAAATAAAATTGATTTGTTCTGTATATTAGATAATAAGGGAAGAAAAGTAAAGTAATAGCCTATATACGTCCCACTGCTGGGCACAGACCTCCTCTTATTTCTGAGAGGGTTTTACGGCAAGGTAATTTTCGCCCAGCTGCCCCAATGCATGTTGACGAACTGCACATGCCATCGAAATATTTTTTATTTCTCGGACATGCTGGTTACCGTACCTACGATGTTTTCCTTCACCGTCAAACGCATAGTAAATTAGTGCCGGTGGCATCGAATCCTGGTTGCTCACGTACTGTGAAATTTACAGCGAGTGCTTAGCCCCTGAGCTACCTTGACTCCATTAGGTAATAATATGACGTTATTACATAAGTATGGAATGTTTATATTGATGAAGAGGGTGAATGTTATTTCAACATACACTTTATTCTCCATGTAGGTAATGTTAATTACCGAAGTTGCTAATTCAATTATATTTTAGGCACAATCGATTAATACATTTGGATCGTTTAATAATTGCGAGCTCTTATCAAAAGCGATATTAAAATAAAAATTAAATAATTACGCGGCATTAACAGATTGTATCGGTAATATTCTCACGCGTATCGGTTCCATAAATTGCAATACAAACCGGCAATAAGATCGCATTATACTTATATCACGATAATTATTATTGTGCCTCGGTAAATGCTCCTAATAAAACGATCTATCCCCACACATTTTTACATGTACATAATTTATTACTTTATATATATATATATATATATATATATATATATATATATATATATATATATATATATATATATATATATATATATATATATATATATATATATAAACATAAATAAACACAGTAATGGTTCTGATAAAAGTAGCCAAACCTTCAAAAGAATACAATAAATCCTTAATTTTCAAACTTCTTTTGAGTTTTAGTAAAAATACTGCGAAACTAGGTGATCTTACCTTCACCTTGTTATAACTTTAGTTTTTACAAATTAACAATTTATCACCTTGATAAATAATTTATATTTACTTGTGCTCTGACAAAACAACGCTTAGGTAATTAATTATTCGTCTATTACATATTTATATATTATGTACTATACGATTATTAAATAGCAGCAAGGCTATTGTTGTGGATTGTAGTTATCATATAGAGTCTAAAACGTATGAAATGTTAGAACGAAGAAACATTTTCAATGTACCTACGTATTTTTACGGTACAATTTTGTGACTGTTTGTTAATCGACTTAAATAACAGACGAATTAACCTTATCTACGAAATAAATGGCAGTTCT